CCATAACCAGACCTGATATCACTTATGCAGTCCATCAACTAAGTCAATTCATTTCTGCACCATCTGATATTCATTTGCAGGCTGCTCATAAAGTCCTCAGGTATATTAAGACAAATCCAGGCCAAGGATTAATGTACTCTGTGGATTCTGAGATATGCTTGAATGCCTTTTCTGATGCTGATTGGGCTGCCTGTAAGGATACAAGACGATCTATAACAGGATTCTGTGTTTATTTGGGAACATCTCTCATTTCTTGGAAGTCAAAGAAGCAGGCTGTTACAAGTAGAAGCAGTATAGAGTCTGAATATAAAAGTATGGCACAAGCTACATGTGAGATCATCTGGCTTCAGCAACTTCTCAAGGATCTACATGTTCAGGTTACTTGTCCTGCGAAATTGTTTTGTGACAATAAGTCCGCTCTACATATCTCCATGAATCCAGTCTTCCATGAAAGAACGAAACACATTGAGATTGATTGTCACACGGTGAGAGACCAGATCAAGTCAGGTAATCTTAAAGCTTTACATGTTCCAACAGAGAACCAACATGCTGACATACTCACCAAAGCTTTGCATCCTGGTCCGTTTCATCACTTACTTCGCCAAATGTCTTTGTCAAGTCTCTTTCTTCCGAACCAGATAGTTCCAAGCTAGAGACTTGAGGGGGGCGTATTGAGGATATAACCGGTTCAATGTTACTGGTTAACTTTGGTTTAATAAGCTGAGATTAATACTCGGTTTAATGTGATGTATATAAGCTTAATGACTCTCATTTTTGATAATTAAGTTGTTGTAACAAACATTGGAATGATTAAGAAAAGTTTGTTATCTTCTTTAATTCTCTCTCACTTTTCCGATCTAGTTTCTCCGATGTATCGGACTTTATTAGTAAAGCTTGTGATGAAAGCAAAACAAGAACAGAAGGAAAATATCTTTAGAAAGTAGGTTGAGAGATGGAATCAAATCAAGAAACATAACAAATAAAAGTATGGAGATATAAGGATCCTACGCTGAGAGAAGTCGATTAGCGTCTCTTTCAACCGGAAAGTTGAAAGCTCCACGGACAGGAGACTGTAACAACCTTCCATGCCGAGCAGAATCAAATGCCCCAAGCTGATTAAGATCGATTTCATGGCTCAGATAAATCATCCTCTTCAACGGAAGAACCGTCCCCTCATAGCCCCATACCATAACAAAGATGGCAGCGATGATCATTCACAGCAAAGGTCTTCAAATTGACATTATAATGTGTCCAGCAATGTATTTTGTAGTTAGGTTAGAAATTCTATTCTACTAACCATCATATGAGAGAATTGAGGATTATATTGCAAGGGTTGGGAACTCACTGTGATCGAACAAGAGGTGTGTAGACGGTATTAGGTAATCTGTTTTCACCTAAAATTATTACACCTCCACCCTCTTGACCTCCACTGAGACAGAGCGAGAAAACTTCCGGAGCAAGGCGTTGAGAAGAAAGCTGGGAAACAACCAATAAGCGCCCTTTGCCTAACCCAACGATGCCATGTATCGATGTCTCTGGCAGTGATATTAGTCCAGCATGTAAGTTGCTACACCTGTTTGTCAGCAGAAAATCATGGAAACGTTAGAAACAAAGCAAAATAGTCTGCTCTCATAAATAAGAACAAGATAAACACTCAAAACAGTCCATAAATGTAATTCGCAGCACATGACAAAGCTACCAACAAAGGTTTCTCCAAACACAAGAATGAAACACCAAAGAAACAGTCCATAAATGTAATTCTCAGCACAGGTTACACAAGTTTGGAGAAAAAAATCAACAAAACAGGGACATGACATAGCTAAAAATAGAATTCCATTCTTAGAAGTAAACATATGACCAAAAAACAGAGTGAGCTTTATGCTTTAGGAGTTAAGTTTATAAACTGGATGAGTTTGGAAGATCAAGAGCGTGTTATAAAGTATGAAAATTTAGGTTCTCATGGATTATCTGGTTAAACTGGCTAATATTCATATTTGGTTCAACCAAATATTCTAAGACTTTGCATTGCTTCTACAAGAAAACATAATAACGTAAAATAATAAATTTACCCGAAAACAAACGGAGCAGATGACTTTACGGTCAAGTTACTGGACATAACTGTCTCAAAGGAAATGAGATCTGAGATGTAGTAGCCGGAGGTGAAACTTCCATCACTGTACTCCACCTTGTACTCAAGTGGAGAACAACCAGATTTCTTATGTAGATCCGAGAAACACCTCTTGTCAGAACATGCCAGCTTTACAGCTGAGGATGAGGCTCCAGGATCAAAGAAAGTAACATTCTACCACAAAACAGAGGCAAAACAAGTTATCAGATACAAAAACAAAGCAAAATCATGAAGAAAATTGAAATGCTATATATATGAAGAAAAGTTATACCTGAAGAGGGCAACCGACGCAAGAAATGCAGCTAACCCATAAAACATCACTTCCGGTGTCAATTACCACATTGAACTCTCTTGGCGGTGTCCCAATTTGTAATGTCGTGTAGTAAATCCTGTCATAAAGCAAATCTCTTATTAGGGAAATTCTAAACATATAAGAAACCAACTAGTGAGTTTTTTTCACCTGGAAATCGGATTTGTGCCTCTTTCAACCGGAAAACTGAAGGCTCCATGGACATGAGACTGTAACATCCTTCCATGCCGAGCAGAATCAAATGCCCCAAGCTGAGTAAGATCGAGTTCATGGCTCGGCGGAATCATCCTCTTCAATGGACGAACCGTCCCCTCGTACTCGTATCCCCATACCATAACAAAGATGGCAACGATGATCAACCTGACAAACAAACAAATATGAATGGTCTCGTTAAGAGTTTAAGCTACATAAGAAAAGATTAGTCGTTAACATAATAGGAAAATATCCTACACTAAACCGTCTATTATTGTTGTTTTGTGACACAGTGGAGTCAAAAGTGAGGTGAAGAAACTTAGGATTGACTTTCAAAAGGTTCAAGAACATGATACGGATTACGGTATCACGTAGAACCATAAAGCCTTAACTTGAGCCCAAAGTATTTAATTAAGATTTACGTATTTTTCCTTTTTGCATTAAGATTAGTTTTGGTGTTTTTCCTTTTTAATTATGTTAAGTCGGCTTGTACGTGAGTCTATATAGAGACTCTTTATGATTAACTAGATATGGATCCGTGCGTTGCACGGGTTGCTGGTCGAAATTGTCACTTATTTTTATAAAGTTTAACTAAAATTATATAAACAGCTATGTTTTAATTTTAGAAAATGCAACATTTTCATTATTTTTTAAATAGATTTATTATGCATAACGCACAATATAAAACACAATTTGTAGTTATTTTATACTAATTATTAAATCATCTAATATAAATCTTGGTCTATTTATCACCAACACCACCATTACCGCCTCTTCTCATCTTTTCCAACTGATCTTATTTCTCCTCTTTTATTTTCTCTAGCATCGAGCCGAGCCTCTTTCCGACAACAATTCTAGTCTATGTCCATTGCCGTTCATAATTTCTTAATTTGCCTCCATCGCCATATATTCTTTGGATCTAAATATAACATCCTATATTTAGAAAACCATTGTAATTCAAAGTATATATATATATATATATATATATATATAAATGACATGATATATTTCTAATAAATGATAAATAATTTTTACATGATTCATGTTGTTCTTAAAGTCAATCTATCACCATATCCGTAACCATACACCACCACCATCGTCACTTCCATTAACAATCACATGCTACTTCTATTTCTTTTAGTATGATATGCTATTATATTTAATGACATTGTTTTTTCCTCTGATTCTAGGTGGATGTCTCTCTTTCGTCGTCAAAATTCTAGTATTGATTTTCTTTATTTTTAGATTTCCTGTTATTAGTGTTTATTTTTTGTTTTTTAAATCCTAATTACATGTATGTTTTGTCTTTTGTTTGAAGGCTATTTCATCGCTGAAAAATATTAGTTTCTAAAGGTTTTTTTGACTCAATGCTATTTCCTTAATTATTTTTTAGTCAAAGGTTAGTTACTAATATTATCTTAAAAATAATTTATGACCAAAAAAAGAGAGGCACTACAGGAAATGTGGGTATTAATAGCGGCCGAAAAACGCAATTATTCATCTACCATAGCGTTTCCTTAAGCGCTCTGACATCGCCCGTTATAGAAAGTCGGACACTTTTGATAGCGGTTTTTAGTTGTGCAATAGTTAAGTATACAACGATAGCGTTGTCTTTTGTGCAATTGTTAATGTTTATAATAGCGTGATAAAGATGTTATTAAAACTCGTTAATTAGATTTTACCTATAGCAAAGATAGCATCTGTTTTGTGTTATTAGTTTGTTTTTAAATTATTCAAAATAATAAATAATTACGAATTATATTTTAATTTAAATATAATATTTGTAAAAACAAAAATACCATTAAAATGTTTAATAACCCATTTCAATTTTCATTGTTTACAAAAACCACAAACATACCTATCAATCTACCACTAACAAGCCTTCACAATCATCCCTAACATAAACACTATCATCATCAAAAGCTTCATCATCCAAATCATCGACTTCTTGTACAGGCAAAGGTGCACCACCTAAATCCTTTTCTGTTTCCAATTCATGATAGCCTCTAGGTGGTGCTCTCATAACAACATACCAATTTGAATTATCATCTTCCCTAGAATAGAAAACCTGTTTTGCTTGAGAAGGTAGAATGAATGGATCTTTCAAATAGGCTGTTTGGTTCATATGAAGGTTAACAAGAGTGAAACCATCTTCCTCCTTCACACCATTCCCTGTGTTAGCCCAATTGCATCTAAACAGCGGCACTTTGAACATGTCATAGTCCATAAGTAAAATCTCCTTTATCACTCCATAATATGTAAGCACATCAGCGACTTGTCTCATATCTCGAGCACTTGATCTACACATGCTAAATGCTTCATAAGTCATTAAGCAAAACATGATCATGAAGCTAACAATTCTGTGCCAAGAAAACCAGACATCAAGCTACAAGCTAAGCTAACCAGTCATTAAGCAAAACATGATCATGAAGCTAACAATTCTGTGCCAAGAAAACCAGACAACAAGCTACAAGCTAAGCTAACCAGTCATTAAGCAAAACATGATCATGAAGCTAACAATTCTGTGCCAAGAAAACCAGACATCAAGCTACAAGCTAAGCTAACCAGTCATTAAGCAAAACATGATCATGAAGCTAACAATTCTGTGCCAAGAAAACCAGACATCAAGCTAACCAGTCAATTTAACAAGCTGTATAACAAATAATCAAGAAGACAAGTTGCAGCTGTAAACCTTTTTTTTAAGCCATTGTGCAAACTGCTCAGTATGGTTTTTCCATAACAAAGTTTCACTTTTAGCACATCGAGCATCATTAGCTTGTAATTCTTCCAAATGCATCCTGATTTTACATTAAACAACAGTCTTGAGAATGAAATTATAATCATAATTAGTAGATGAGACATAAAGGGTAACCTCTTACTCTACATAAGGATCCAAAGATGCCATGTTCATTAGCACATAGCGATGTGCATTGTCTCTATCTTTATCTGATAGGGTAACTTCTATACCCTTCTGCAGAGGTCGACCTTCAACCACGCTTCTATCAGCCTCAATATCTTCATTGCGATTAACTGTTTCTTGAACTGGTACTGAATCTTTAAGGAACTCTAAACAAAATGCAACGCATTCTCCAGCTAAATACCCCTCAGCCATACATGCTTCTGGCCTTGCATGATTCTTAACAAAAGCCTTAAGTGTTTTCATGTACCTATAACTCAGTCAAGAAATGAATATTAGTCCAATATCATTGCAGTAAATACATATATTGAATCAAATGAGTACATATATCAAACCTTTCAAATGGATACATCCAGCGAAAGTGTACTGGTCCTCCCAAACGTGCTTCTTTTGATAGATGTATTGGAAGGTGGAACATGATATCAAAAAGGGATGGAGGGAAGAAGCGCTCCAGTTGACACATTGTTTCCACAAACTCTGTCTCCATTGTCATAAGTTTCTCCGGGTCGATGATGCGCTGACACAACCTGTTGAAGTAACTGCATAATCTATTTATGGCAATCCTAGGACCCTTATGTAACAACCCTCTTAATGCAGCTGGTAACAAGTTCTGTACTAGGACATGATGATCATGCGACTTTAAACTACCTATATTTGGAGGGGTAACTGAAACACTATTTGCAATATTACCACAATAACCATCAGGACCTCTAAACTTAGATAATCTTTGGCAGAAAATTGTCTTCTCTTTCTTGGATAACCAATAGGCTGCTGGAGGTAAGTATGTTTTCTTTCCCCGGACCTCTGTGTGCAAGTGATTTCTGATTCCAATATCTTCTAAGTCTTTTCTTGCTTTCAAACCATCTTTTGACTTAGCACTTTGCATCAAGATAGACAATATAGCATCTGAGATGTTCTTTTCTACGTGCATAACATCAATATTGTGACGAACAAGCAAATCCTAACACATTAAATAAGAAACTGTTAAGCTTATTCAGATCCAACAATAAGAGAATATAGTTCAAATAGTTTACATTACCTTCCAGTAAGATAGTTCAAAGAATATTGATCTCTTCTTCCACCGCCATAAATCATTTGATTCTTCACACTCTTCTTCTTCAACCACCTCATCTTGATCCAACTCAGTTCTTTTTCTTTTAGTTTCCTTATCTAGAGGTTTTCCAAAATCATTCCTAAAAGCTTGTAGTGTCTCATATATTTCAGAGCCAGTTTGTATCCTATTGGCAGTCCCTTCCTCAACAGTGTTGTCAAACCAAGCTTTTTTATATCTGTAACGATGGCCAGGCGGTAGTCTCTTTCTATTCCCCATATAGACAAACTTACGGCTAAACTTAAGCCATCTGGAAGGTGTATGCTTTCCACATACATTGCAAGCTTGTTTCCCTTTCACTTTACATCCAGACAATGATCCTAAGGCTGGATAGTCACTGATACTCCAAAGCAGCATGGCTCTAAGTGTGAAATTCTCCTTTGCAAATGAGTCATAAACTTCAATACCCTCAGCCCACAAATCTTTTAAATCGTCTATCAGTGGTGCCAAGTAAACATCTATGTTATTACCAGGAGCTGTTGGACCAGGGATCAACAAAGTCAACATTATATTCTCAGCCTTCATACACATAGTTGGAGGCGTGTTATAGTTCACCAACATCACTGGCCATGTGCTGTGATTAGTGTTTTGCATGGAGAAAGGGTTCATCCCATCTGAAGAAATTCCAAGTCGAAGATTCCTTGGTTCAGCAGCAAAGTCTGGCCATTTATCATTCACTTGTGCCCACTGGATAGAATCAACGGGGTGTCGCATTGTACCATCTTCACTGCCATTCGTATAGTGCCACCTCAAATCTTCAGCCATCTTTTTTGATCTAAACATCCTCTTAAATCTGTCCTTGATTGGAAAATATCTAAGGACCTTTGCTGGAATCCCAACCTTTATCTCATTACTATGCTTATCCTTTTCCCATCTTGAAACTTTGCATCTTGGACAGCTATCTAACTTCTCAAACTCCTTCCTATATAGTATGCAATCGTTCTTGCAAGCATGAATATTTTCATATCCGAAACCAAATATCTTCAGGAATTTCTTGATTGCAGCTAAACTCTTCGGAAGTATATTGTCTTCAGGTAGCATGTCCTGAATTAAACCCAACAGCTGATCAAAGTAGTTCTCCGACACACCACTCTTAACCTTGAATCTGTAAAGTCCCATAATTGCTGAAACCTTTGTGTATTTGATACAATCAGAGTACAATGGAGTTTCAGCTTCTCTTAACTTTTTCCTAAACTCAGTTTCCTCTACTGCTTCATCGTCGTTTGCCTCTAATGCTTCATCATCATCATCATCACCCATAGAAAATGCTGTCTTAAACAAGTCAAATGCCTCTGTTTCATGTTGAGGAGCATTGTCTTCTGTATCTGCTCTTTTTTCACCATGAAAATTCCAACAAGAAGTCTTATACTTCTTATCCATACCCCTAAGCACTAGATGCTCAACAATTTCCTCTATAGACTGATGGCATAAATTGCGGCAATCTCTACATGGGCATAGCATTTCAGATAGATTTCCCAATCTTCTTGCAGATGAATTGGCGAAATTCGTTGCTCCTTCTGAGTACTCGGTAGTATTCCTACATTGTCAATTGGAAAAGAATTCAGATTTCTTTCAATCAGATAATATAAGTAAGCTCGATAGAATTAAGTGTATACCTTGGCAGCGAGATCCACGTCTTATCCATTTGGTCACGATGGAGATGAATCCGTTCTGAAATGATGAACTTTTGGTAAAATCGAGTTGGGGAAATCGAGTTCTCTGAAAATTTGTGTTCTGAAATGATAAACCCTAAATCGAGTTCTGTTGGAAAAAAATGAACGGCTGGGATCAAAATTAGTGAATCGAATCAACGGTCTAGGTTCAATAAGCTTGCAATCTCGGTAGTTACTGCTTATTGGCTAAGAACATGAACGGCTCAGATCAAATCAGCGATACAGATCAAGGGTGTATATTAATCGCGTCAACAATAAAAAAGGACGGCTCAGATCAAAGTCGGCGCGATCTAACGGTGCAGGATTCGTCCCACAATGTGGGAGGTGAGTTCTCATTGGCTAGTAATGAAAAAATCATAAAATTATCATATAAAATTTTTTATTAATGAAAAAAATATAAATTATTTCTTTAAAAATACAATATATGTATTTCAATTTTTAGAATATTTTTTCTTATAAGTATAAAATTTTAAAATTAAGAACAATTAATATAGGTTAGTATTCCAACTATCTAACTTATATGTTCATATACACTAAGGCATAGTTTAGGGTTTAGGGTTTAAACTTTGGAATTTAGATTTTTTTACTCAAGTATTTATGTTTTATAGTTTAAACTTTAATTTAGAGTTTTAAAGATTTAATTTAATTAGGATTTTAACTTTAATTTAGAGTTTAGGGTTTAGGGTTTAGGGTTTAGGGTTAGGGTTTAGGGTTTAAACTTTGGGATTTAGATTTTTTTACTCAAGTATTTATGTGTTATAGTTTAAACTTTAATTTAGAGTTTAAAGATTTAATTTAATTAGGATTTTAACTTTAATTTAGGGTTAGGGTTTAGGGTTTAGGGTTAAGGGTTAGGGTTTGGAGATTTAATTTAAGATTTTAACTTTAATTTAGAGTTTAATTTATACCATAATATTACACAAAGTACCAATACCATAATATTACACAAAGTACCAATACCATAATATTACACAAAGTACCAATATCACAATTGGCTAAGTTTCACACAAACTTCACTTTCTCGGTTGGCCAAGGTACAACTGAACCTACTGCATCAGAAATGAATACAAACTCTGAATTTGGCCTCCAGACCTTTGCATTACCAATCTTAATCAAATCTACAGAGACCTTGCTTGCATTTGGACCGAGGGGCACATTATGGCACTTATCTTCTGGATCTGTTGACATCACTGTTCCTTCAGCTACAATACGACCAGAATTGTTGCAGTCTAAAAGAACACACTTCTGCTTTGGACTTTTGGTGGAACTATTGCTGCCTGGACTCTACAACTCAAAGCAAATAATAGAAGCAAGTTCCAACATCAATGAAAGTCCCAACATCAATCAACAGACAAACAAATGAAAAACTTAATTTCAATAACATACCACTGATTTAGTTAGTGTTGGTTCTGGAGTGGCTGTAGCCGTGACATCAATCTTTAGGACTGGCCATGCGATTTTTTCATGAATTGCTTCACCAATTACACTAATATCAGCAGTTGGCCTCCACAAAGGAGCATTAAAATTGAACACCTTCACAACTTGAAGACTAACAGCACCCGGACCTAGAGGAATATTGTTAACCCTCTCTTTGGAGTTAGATGAGCACACGATACCTTCAGCAATAAGCTCATCATTCTCTATATTTTCCCAATCAAATATTTTGCAGCTTCGAGTTTCACCTTCCTTGTTTGGCTAAAATGTAAGAGGCTAATGATTAGATATATATCAATTCACCAAAAGAAAATGATATTGGAATTTAAAACTTTACCCCTAAGGATACATCTTCAGAAGTGAATGGAACCCTAAGCACTTTGTCCATTGGCCAAGATATTTTGCATCCAACAGCTTCCTTAAGATATAACACATCTGATGTAGGCCTCCAGAGAGAAGCTGTTGAGCTTAGTACAGAACTAACAATGACAGCCACTGCATTAGGACCAATTGGTACACGACCAATTTTGTACATCGGTTCATCAGAACAGAATTCTCCTTCACCAACAACTACTTCTCTTGAATGAATCCAATCCAGTAGTTGTACTCTATCTCCTACTTTGAATACACCACTACTCTCACATGTTTCAGTCTCACAATAACTTTTCTGAGATAAGGAAAAGGAATTTTGTTAATGTCTTAAAACCAGACCAATTGACTAAATGTAATGAAAAGGATTACCTTCTTTCCAGCTAAGTCTCTAAACATTCCCTTCAACTCATCAATCTCACTTTTCATTTCTGCCATTTTTGCGTCTCTAGCTTGCATAAACGCTAACTTAGTACCCGTGATCCCTCTACCAAACCCCCTTACTCGTCCAGGTTTGTCTTTTCCCAAAATCTGGCTCACAGCATCTTCCCTTATGTTATCAGCAGCTGATGTAGAGTCCATTTCACTATCAAGTGATTGTATTTGTTTCTGAGACAAACATTCAAACACAATATTAAAACTCATTGATCATGATGCATTACTTACACACAATATAACAAGTTCCAGAATTCTTACAATAGTCTCAGCAAATTGAGGCTTCACAGGTCTACCATCAGCATGAGTGTGTCCCGCTAACCATACCTTAGTCCTAGTCACCTTACTTGGGTTTGAACTCTTTTTTTTCTATATAAAGTACATATGCATATCTCAGTACCATTTTATGCTAACAAGATATACAATATATATAGATATTGACAACTATTATTACCATATCATCAGCTAAACGAACCAATCCTTTGCGGCTGGAGGTTTGAGGAATCTGATCATGTCTCAACTTCCTCATCTTGTTACTTACTTCCTACATTATAAATATGAGTGTGATTAAATCTATAAGACATGACATATAAACATATAAACTTCATACTAACCGTAAAAGCTTTGCTAGTCTTGCTCTTAACCCAAGAGTTCCACACTTGAATGGATGGGATGTTGCTAGGTTTTAAAGCTAGTATATCAGCAGCTGTCTCAGCAGCACGTACTTTTGTCACTAGCCTTGACTTCATACCCCTAAAGATATTACACATTTGCTTCATAATAACAGCTTTTTTCCATTCTTCTTCCATGTCAAACCTCCCCTGCATCAAGTACAACAAGCAAAGGTCAAACATGTTCCATATCTGTTAAACAAAAAATTAGTTGCATATATATAAATATATACCTGAATTTGTTCCCACAATGTTTCTTTAGTCGCTGCATCAACTTCTCTCCAATCAGAAATTGTAACCGGAATGAACTGACTCACGAGAACACCAAGAAAAGATGATAATCTTACTGAACCAGTTCCAACATGATCACCAAAGTCAGTGAAAGAAACTGAAACCCTTTCATTAGGATTTTCAGCCACTTTACGCATCTTTGTTGGTCCTCTTTTTCTTCTTACTTTAACTCTTTCTTCTGGTACCTGACTTCCTTCATCAGTCTTCCATATTGGCAACTTCTTTATCTTGACCATTGCCAACATAGTGGCAGCTTCTTCTTGATGATACTCCTGCTGGTCCTGTCCAGTCAAACAAGCTTCTTCTTCTATATTGGCAACTTCTTCTTCATCCTCCTCCTGGCCTTGTCCAGTCAAACATCCTTCTCCTTCATTCTCATCTTCACACATTGCTTTCTCAGTCTGATCAGCCTCCGGTGTTATATCTTTGTCATTACCCTTTTCTTCTTCCACAGCTTCTGGTGTTACATCTTCTACCTCATCATCTACAGCAGCCACTTTCGGTGTAACATCTTCTACCTCATCATCTACAGCAGCCACTTTCTTGGCTCTAGTACTACTTCTTCTCCGAGCCACTTTATTTGTTGTTTTCTTCTTATTCACCTTCTTATTAACCTTTAGTGTTGTTGCAGGAGCAACATCTTCTACCTCCAAGCCTTGATTACGCCTACTACGACGAGCACAAACTTGACCTCCTCCTCTTGTCTTTGCCATTTTCTGAAACTGATGAAGAACAGTTTCAATCAACATAAAATCGAAACCAAAAATCATAATCAAAACCCAAACTTCGAATTAAAACCCAAAATCAAAATCGATTTCACAATTGAAACAATATATGTGCCAGACTTCGACATGCATGTTAACTAAGTGTAAGAATGAGAACCCAAAATCAAAATCGATTTTGAATTTGGAATTCAAAATCGATTTCACACAACCCCAAATCAAATTGGTTTTCCAGAGAACAAAGAAATCAAACGGCTCAGATCGAATGAGAACATACCTGTTCGAGATCGATAGAAACCGACTTAGATCGAGAGGGAGATGAGTTGAAGATTTTTTTTGTTCTCTGTTAGAGAAGTCGAGAGAAGAAGTTAGATTTTTTTTTTGCTTTAGGGAAAAAATGAAAAAGTTTTCTTTAATTTTGCCTTAGACAAAATTTCACAATTTTCCCTCTTAACATTTTCAATAGCGGGAAAGAGACTTTAGTAACCCGAAAATTGGCCGCGTGAATTGCATATATCCCGCTTCAATCATTTATAGCGTTTACAATTCAGAAAACGCTATCTATTAAGTAAAACATAGCAGAGACATAAAAAACGCTATCTTTTAGTGCTATCAATACCCACATTTCCTGTAGTGAGGAAAAACTTTACTAATAGAATGAAATTAAAGAAATGATAGTGTCTCAAGAAATTAGTTTGCTTGGTGAGAATGAGACAATCTATTTTTTTCTGTAGAGGTGAGTATTTACAATCCTTTTTCTTATATGATTAATATAAATTATATAATTTACTTAAAAAAATTATCATATTCTTAAATCTTTTTTTTGTACAGTTAGTAACTCATAAATAAAACGTTTAGCATTATTTTATAATTTCTATTTTTATGAACAATACACACATAATTTCTTTATATATACATATACTTTCCTTATAATAATCTTTTTATATTATGAAACTCTTTAAATTTATAAATTTGTTATAATTATCTTTTTACAATATTTAGTTTGTTAAAACCAAATTTTTGTTTGCCATATGACAAAATCTCTTATGGAAATATAGGTATAATTTCCTTATACTTTTTACATTTAAAACTATTTAAATTTATAATTATCTTTTTTCTTTTTAACTATTAAAAAGGAAATATTTATTTGACATATGGCAAAATCTAAGATTGATAGATTTGACACGTGTCACGATCACGTGAGTTATTAACTTTGAAAACCATACTTTATATAATAAGATAAGAAACCAAGTTCCAACAATTAACCTAACTAGATTTACTCGTCCGCGCGTTGCGCGGGATATCAACTTTAAACTGGCAACAATACAAAATGTTAAAAATAATCATAATCATTTGAATTTCAAAACTATACATATTCATACTTGTTTTACAAAACAGTACACAACATAGAAATTATCAAAAATATTTAGTATGTACCACGTAATAACAAAAGTAATATCAGATGAATCGGTCTTGGTAGTCATCCATGAACTTTTGTCAAAAAGAGAGTTTATTCCATAATCAGATCTTGTAAGTATATCTATCTCGAAATTTTAACATAATCATACCCCATAATAAAAGTAAATTTGCTGAGTTTGAATATCAATTTTATGAAAATGTATAAATGTAATATTCATGCTGCTTCAATAGATTTGGAGAGCACAATTTACCTATTGAAGCAAGACAATCATGCATTAAGAAATTTTTTGATAAAATCATGAATGTCCTTATCTTATCTTATCAATCCTACAACGCTTTATTACATGGTTCAATGATTTAACTCAATGTTGAATATGATAGTCTGGTTTACTAAATCAAACTATCCGGTAGTGCATCAATATATCCGATGAATTTACTTAAGTCATGTGCATACATATATCCGATGCTTCAAGCATTAGTCAATTCCTCTTCAAACATTTTTTTCTATCATTTTTTCGCCATCTTCTATGATGCACTTGTTTGCCTCCCAACATCTACTCTTCTTTTATCTTCTATGCTCATTTACATATAATAAAACTTTGAATTCATTCTTAACTCAAAACTATTTTCTCATTTTCTTCTTCTTAGTCTATTTTCTCTTATTAATTATATGATTTTCACGTTTGAGTGTAATATACTTTTACGGAAGATATATATTTATGAAAATTGTCTCAACGCTTATTTAGATTTTTACCTATATTTAAATATTTTCACTTTTTTATCTAGAAAGCAAACAATAATATAAATATAATTATATTATTTCAGTTGTTATATATTTACTATAATTTAATATTAAGATACAATCAATTTTTCTATTTTTTCGTAAATGTGAATTTATACTTTTACTTTCTTGAAATATAATTTCCAATTTTAAAAATGAATTATTTCTTATATCTTAAGAAAACTTATACAATCATAAGTTTACTATAACATTTAACCATTTATTTTTAATCTAAAAATATACTATTTTAAATAGATTTCTTCCACTTCATTATCATCTCTTCAAGTTAATGTTTCCAACAAATATGAATATCTTCTTATTATTAAAAAAAACTCTTATAGTCTTCCATTTCAATTCAATTCTTTTGTTCATCCTAAATTATATTTGAGGTCTCCTTATTATTCTCAAAAAATGATAGTTTTTAAACGTTTTTTATTTTTTATTCTTAATAAGTTATTATTTTTTGTAATTGTATAATAAATTTCATTAAGAATCATTTTGCCCATCTTAAATAACATTGGTATTTCTATGAAATTTTCATTATTATTTTTTATTTCTTAATTATATATTTAGGGATTATGTTCATTTTAAGTTATATATTAGCAAAAATTTAATTTTAAGTGTTTTATATGTATATATGTTACACTTGTGTTATTATTATTCAAGTAACCTTTATTTAAAATTATGCATTAATTGAAAATTACTTGTATAGTAAATTTCATTAAGAATCATTTTGCCCATCTTAAATAACATTTGTATTTTTATGACTTTTCATTATTATTTTTTTATTTCTTAATTAATTATATATTTAGGGATTATGTTCATTTTAAGTTATATATTAGCAAAAATTTAATTTTAAGTGTTTTATATGTATATATGTTACACTTGTGTTATTATTATTCAAGTAACCTTTATTTAAAATTATGCATTAATTGAAAATTACTTCTTAGATAATTAGATGTAATTAACTATAAAATTAAATATTTTAAAATAATTATTGGTGGGATCCATCATATTAATTTGGTGATGATGTGGACACCCAAGAGGAGAGAAAACTCTCCTATTATATATATAGATTCTCTAAGAGAGGGTTGGGTTAAAGGGAAGCTTTTGCTTAAATTATTCTTGAAATTTAAGGTTCATATCATAACAGGATTTGCTACTTTAATTTCCTAGGCTAACACTCGTTGAGAGAGAACCCATTTTTTTTTTTTCGTTGAGAGAGACTTAGACTATTAAAAGACGTTGAGAGAATCCTTGTCTCTAATACATACCTCATAATAGACGTTGAGAGAATCCTTGTCTCTAATACATACCTCATAATACCTTGCCCCATTGTTCAGATGTTGAAATGTAGACAAAACTACCAGTAGTCCAATAAGAACAGCACGAGGATCCTACAACACACATTAAGCAGTTGTATCAGTTAATTAACATCAAAGGTAATAAATAACTAACTAAAACATCAAAAATAATGATGTCAATTAACTAAAACATAGTATTTGTCTCAGATTTTAACTAACTATTGACATGAAACTAAGACAAGAATCAGGATTATCTCCGTGGAACAACATATATAGAAGAACAAATACAAAGGACACAAAATCGAAAGAGAAACAAAAGCATTGTCTTTACTCTTTAACCTCAAACAATGTAATAAACTAAGAAAATCTAAACTTAAAAAAGTAATCTCAAGTTAGGAACAAAAATTCAGTTGATCATTATACAAAGAGACATCAAAACGATGATTCATGAAACAGAGAGACAAAAAGCTAACAAAGAATTTTGAGTTATGATTTTTCTCTACCTCCTCTGTTTTAAAATGTTGATGAGAACAAAAAAATATCAAGGCGGGAATGATTTGAGGAACTTTAAAATGGGTGTTGACTTTTTTGGGTTTAATTTTCATGGTCAACATAAGTTTCGTATGGTTTTTTATTTACGAGAAAGTTTGGGGGGTTTTCTGTAAATTATGGAAAGTTGGGATATAACAAAAGCGAATCCTTTTTATTTCTTTACCTCACAGCTTTTTTTTTTTTGGGAAAGAAAAATCACTTTCTAACTCTCAACTTGTAACACAATTATTCAAACCATGATATCTAATAAATGCGCAGAGAAAATAAACCAACGTAATCTGAAACTAGTCTGAAAAACACACAAACACACACATGTCCGAAACTAATCTGACCAAAGCCAATTAAAGAATGATCATCGTTTAGCTGTTTTACTACTTGGTGTTATTTCTCTTACAATGTTGTTGTGAAGCTTTCTGTCT